TTTCTATATATTATATATATATATATATATATATATATATATTTTATTATAAAGCGACACATTTCAAAGATTGAATTTCACATATGTGGCAAACTGTCAAATATGTAAATGTTGATATTTCTCTAATAGGATTATGGAATACAAACGATTGTAATTAAATGTCAAATCATGATGAATCGCGTGCGCGCAACTTTAATTACGTTCGAGTAATGGACACGCAGCTTCTCATCCTATATGTACGTTTTGATTTGTCTCGTTAACAGTTACTTTAATGACATCTTTTATTTCCGCGTTGAACGTTGACAAACAATTTTCAATTAATCATTGGCTAACTATTCCTCTGATGTTGAGTTTGTGGTAGAAGCGTAAATCATAGCTTTATGTAATTGTGAATATTACTATTCACTCTAATTAATTACTAAAAATTACTTTGTCAGAATTTGACTTACATTAATGACTTATGTTAATAATGTATAATATATTAATTTAATATATTTATACATCATATTATGTTTTAATTATATATTATTTTTTAATGAATAGGTAGTAATAATGTGAACGTGAGAAAACATTTGTCATGTTATATTTTATATCACGTCAAATATACGTGTTAGATCAACATATCGATATGATTCTATTTATTAATATGACTCGTAAACAAACTCGATCGTTTTTTTTAACAGATGATGTTGTAATGAAGGCATTTTTTCCTGTTGACAGATATGAGTGGTTCAAGATTTGGCAGAGGCCGGAATGGCCGTTTAATTTTTTACGGGATCTGCGTTATAGCGATTCTCGTAGCAATGTTAGTGTGCCACTTCATTACCTCGGAAATGGCCAGGCTTCGAGAAATGCATGTACAATGCCTCCATCAGCAGGAGTCTCTCGCTGCTCAGTTGCAAGGTAGGCACGACGGGATAAAAATACTTAAGTGTTGTCGAAGATTGAAGTTTACAATGGTGTTGGTATTTCATTTAAACAGTCAGAAGATAAATTGCTATGGTAGATACCTGAGACTCTAAGGCATATTCCAGACATCAAGGGATTTACTGTGAAAAATAACACACCACAATACGTCGTAAGATTAAGAGGCGGATAGGATTTTCAGCAAATCTCACAAATTATGGCCTTATACTGTATTCTTATAAATTTGTCAATCACAGATTATAAACGATTAAACCTCCTTATACGTATTTTTCCAGTAATATTCGAGTACAAAGTACGACTGGAGAAATCTCTGGCCGAGGAGAAGAGCTCGAATGCCGCGGTGAAGCAGGAGCTGCAGCAACGCGCGTCGCGAGAGAAGTCGATGCGCGACAAGGACAGTATGGAGGCGTTGGCGAGGTTCAACTCGCTTCAGCAAGCCTACAATATTCTGCAGTCGGAACATCAGGATCTGCAGGAGGAGTGTAAGAAGCGCGAGACGCAGGCACAGAACGAGTACAATAAACTGCAAGTAACGCTGCACGGCTTGCGCGTTCGTATCCAACATGCTGAAGAGGACAAGACCCATGCTTTGGAAGAGTTGAAAACCAAGTATCTGGAAACGGATAACGAGAAGACCAAGTTGCAAGAAAAGTACAACGAACTGCTGCAAAATAGAGAGAACACCGGTAGTACTGTCGATCATCTTAGAAAGGAGATCTTCCAGCTCAGACGCGAACTGGAGAGCGCCAAGGTACGTCTCTGGTTTTCTGGAAGACAGCATAACTTAATATCAGCTGATATGTATAAAGAGAAAAAAAATACTATTTAAAAAATAAGACGGTCAATAATTATATTTTATACGTGAAATAATTAATAGCTGTGTCTTGTGAAAGTTGATTGAATATCATTTGCTCGCTAAATCAGTACTGAATTATGTTCAAGTATTCAATGATGTGAAAAAAATCGAGACCTCTTAAATGAAGATATTAAAATTTGTGATGATTGTCGTGATTCATTTCAAGAAATTAGCGCACATAAGTACGCCTTCTAGTTCAGTTCTGATGACTCCTCGGGCGTCAGTATCACAATCGGCGTTGCAAAAGGAAGACTCACAGCCGATTCCGGCGCCGCAGCAACAACAGCAACAACAGGTAAGTTCGTCGCAGCCGCTGTATGTGTCTCGTGATTATCGCGCAGCGACTCCATCAGACGAGAAGACGTTGAACGATGACGCCGAGCCTGCCAATGATATTAGGTTCGTTCAGAAGAATGGCAACATCGTTCCAGCTGGTCCAAGTGAAATGAAAGAAGTCAGCGAGCATCATAAATCCTCAGCTAACGAATTACAAAAGCAGCAGAAGGATGTTGTCGAACGTCCGAATGTAGACGAAGAGAAAAACGGTCTCGACGATGAGCAAAGAAAACAGGTAATGTCACCGCCGTTGAATCGAGATGACGACAGTCCGAAGAATGATAACGCTTCGGCAGTGCCGGGTTCGCAAGCTGAGCAACCATTGGTGCAACCAGCCATTGAACGAGCATCCACGGTCGCGTCTGGTCGGTCCACCAGTGCCAAAGCTCACGAAATAGATGATGAGCTACAGGCTCTACAGGAAAGAATAGATGGGATTCTCAAACATAAAGGAATACGTTAGATTTTATATTTCATTTATTATTACGTATTTATGATCAGCTTATTTTTCATTTGTTAGAAAACCGGTTGCGCAATCTGAGTCATATCCTTTGAGTTTTAACCCGTGAATTGCGTAAAAGATTGATTCTTTTATTGTGATTATATATAGATTATCTTTATTAAGAAAAAAATTCATTAAATAATAATTAATAATAAATAATAAAATATTATTAATATTAGTTATTCATTTGAGTAAGTAAGAGTTTAATTGAGTATTAAATTAAAGCTGTGGATAATCTAAGTATTATTCTCTTTGTTCAATCTTTTACTACACGATTATTCAAGGGTTAATAGAGAAAGATCTAATTAATTGTTTAAGTAATAAAAGTTACTATTATTTTATTCTCTAAGTCAAGTAAGAGAACTTCTTACAGAACAAAATATTGGTAAATATATATTTTATTTTATAATTTTTCTAATAGTATTCTATTGGGGTAAATACTAATAATGTCCTCGATATGGGATTAGAATATAGCAAAGTTTTTTATTTTTCTATTGGAATCTCTTCTTTCACGATATTTTTCTTTATTGTAATCTCTTTCTAGTATTACTTTATATCAAATGTAGAACTTGTAAGCTTGATAAATAATATATAGCCAATGCGAATAGTCTTAAATGAAACAACAGTATTTATTCTCTATGAATCTTTTTATTATTTTTTTCCCTTATTATTTACGATCAGATTAATTCTTATCGTCAATTACCGCATATCACATTTATTACATACGAAAAGATTATTCTAAATATTCCCATTTCGTCATTTTTAAAAAATATGATATATTGTTAATAAAAATGCATAGTTTGTGAATTTGTCAACAATTTTAATCAATTATTTTACTCGTAAGTGATTTAATATAATATTATCTGTTGTTAATAAGCAACAAATTGTTGTTAACATTCACTATCTTATTTATTATGTTAAAAAATTTGTGCTGATAATTTGCATATTACTCTATTAATATCAATGCGATTTTAAAAAAATGAAAACTTTTTAGTATTACATTTACATTAATTAAATTTTGAATCATATATGGGATTCCTCATAAAATTCGTGACAATAAATTTTACTAATGAGTTTAATTAATTTTTGTATTAAATATTTTGTTAAAGAATTTTTAAAAGATATTTAAGATGGAAATGTCAATCTTATAAATGGTTTCTATTTGCACAGTTTTATAGATATTTTGTTCATTAAATGTTATTGAATAGGTAATAGTGTTAAAGTAATAGTGTAAAAAAATTTTAACTCTGTGTGTGTGTGTGTGTGTTTACATACATATGCACATAATTTTTTTAACCGATCTCTTGTTGTCTTTATAGAGATTCGCTTTTATTATTTATATTGGAAATAAGATTATTCATGTATATGTATAAATGGCTCGCGAGCCGTTCTCAATGTGCCTGTACATCTGTGTTCCATGATACATTAATAAATTGTTATTACGTTTACGCTTGCATTTTTATTGGCAACCTCGTAATAACCTAATTACTATCAGCTTCTGCATCCCTTTTCTGTATTACCACCGCCAATTAATTTACGTTGCGTAAAATCAAAGCTATCCTTTAATTCATCCTTTAATTACGCTAAAAAGATGCTTAAATATATGTATGTTGAATTATAAAAAAAGCTTGTTTTTATGTTGTTTTATGTAGTGTAGTTCTTTTGTTTTTATTGTTAATACAGCTTCAACAAAAGATACTTCAGTACGTAGAATTGCTGCATCATGCATTCCACTTATGGCTTTTTCTGTGGTTCATAATTATTAGACAAACCGCTTACTTGATACGAATAAGCATTCTTTACGTAACTACCTTCTATACGTCTTGCTTAAATTTACGAGGCGTGGCGGAAAATTTATGTAACAAGATTGTCAAATAAGTTATCGATACACAATGTCACAGGATAAATTACGTCCAGCTAACGAAGAGTAATATCGCAATTTCCGAGTATATTTTGAAAAGTGACAAACGTCGCTGTGTAAACCGGTTCTACCGTAACGTTATGTAATTGCAAGAATTGAAGTAAGACGTCGCAACGTCACAACCCAATCTGCGATTGCCTACGATTGAACGGCTGTGTTGTGCCGCCTGTAATCGTGTGAAAAATTTTTTTCAGAGCGTGACGAGTTCGCGAAGAGTGGAGAACACCACCGTGGCGAATGCCAATCTGGTGTCGCCGTCGCCCGTCGACAAACCCGCGCTGCCACCGGTCAGACCAAAGGTCAAGCTACCGGCCGGCGTATTGCCCATACCGAAAATCATCGTGCCGAAGCTCGTCGACGACGTGGACGAGGAAAAGCGCCAGGAGGAGACCCGGAAACGGGAGGAGGCGGCGGCGTTTCATAGTAATTTGCAGCCACCCCCGGCGAAACTCGCCCCGGCGAATGCGGATGACAAGATGGAAAAAGAATCGGTAGTCGAAGCCGGCAATCTAGACCCACCCTTCGTCGCGAATTTTCGCAATGACGGCGAACAGCCAGAGAGGAGAAACGACGCCTGGTTGAGAGTAGGTCCCGGGGTACAGGAAGTTGGCGAAGAACCCAATCAGTTGGGCCGAGTTCCTGGGCGAGTTGTTTTTTTTTATTGAATAATATTTAAATAAATAGCGCACTTATTTTTAATGCATAATATATTTGCATAATTTTATTCTGTTTAAATTTTTTAAAGTATAGTTTCTGTTTCAACAAATCTATTGTCTAATTATATTGTCTAATTCTAGATTGGACGATGGACAAGCTAACGGCGGTGACGATCAGTATGATGGCGGCGATTATGACAAAGAACCACAGCAAAAGAACGGTATTCATCTAGCGGAAGGCGAGGACGAGGGGGAAGGTAACGTTCAAACGATCGAATAACCTGACCGCCTCAATTGATGTCGCGATCATGAAATTATTCTCGCATCTGAATTTCAGACGAGGGCGACATGCTTGAATATCCGCATAATTTGAAGCAAGAAAAGCGGGAATAAAGTCAGCGCCATTGTACGAATGTTTTTTAATGCGACTGGCAAACCGGGTGCTACAAGAGGAAGTCGGCTGAAAAATAGTCAAACGACCTGACCTGATCTGACCTGACCTGACCGATATTCACGATCGTTTGGGTTTAATCAACGTATAATACTTATTGTGCATTATAAACTGTACGAAATTATTTGATGTTTGATACGTCACGAGAAACTGGCAAGGACACGATTGAATTCATCTTCATCTTTCATACGAAATTCTCATACGGGATTTTAGCTAAGTATTGATATATGATAGTATATACACGGTACAAATATCGTCAAGCGCGTCTAAATGTTTGACGAAGATTTCTGATAATTTCGGAACATTTAGAGTGAACTATTGCATACATTTTCGAAGAAAGAAAGAAAGAAAGAAAGATATACTGTATTTTTCTAGATTAAAATCTGTATGAATCGAGTAACTTAATCGCGTTTACTTGAAACTCGTGACTTTCTTACAAATGTTTTAAATTTGGACTTAGATTGCATTAGCACAATTAATTTTATAAAACAATAGCACGAAGATATCTCTGGAACCATTTAGTAATTCATGCATTAAAATTAATTTGCGTTAATATAAATATATTAATAAAAATGTCTTTATTGCGTGAATCGCGACAGTTAATGCAATTATTTTTTTTATTTACGCAATTATTTACATACGATTTACGTATGATAAAAAAATTTTACATATGTATAATATCAGCTTTTTTATCATTTGTATAAGTGTAAAATGTAAAAATGCAAAAGAGAAAATTTAAATAATATTATTTTAATTTTGTTACATTAAAACACGATACAAATTTATTACATTATAAAACATGATACAATTTAATCTTTGAATCATAAAAAAGATTCCAAGTAAAGTTATTTCTATTGTAACCTGATTTCTGTAATCTGAACTTGTTTTATTGTACGGCCATTATCATGGCGACAATGGGATATCGACAATCGACTTTATCAATTCATTAAGTGAATTTATAATAGTTGAATTATTTTAATCTTGTTTCTTTTTTTTTTATTGATGTTCATTGCCGCTAACGATCAGTTTTTGTTTTAAAGGAAATTAAAAATAGATGAACTGTTGAATTAATATATATTGATCGTTTATATATCGATAAATTGATATATTTTTATATTTTTAAATTATATTTATGAAATGACATTTATGAATCGTCCAATAGTAGTTTATTATTAAAAAATGCGATCGACGGAAGAATATTTGCGATTATTTATTCTCTTCTTGCCGAATATTGTACTCATTATGATTTTATTATTTAAGTTAAATGGTAAAAACTTGATTAAGAAAAATTATATTAAGCTATTCCTAAGGAATGTAGCATAATATTTTGTTATAGTTATAGATATTTAGTTTTAATAATAATTATATACATACAAAGAGAAGTGATAAATGTACATATAACGTTCTTTTCGTAATAAAAATGATTAAAAATTAGATTTTTTTTACTGGCTTTTTCCTCTTGTCTTTTTTGGACAATTTCTCTACAAATCAATAGTTTCTTGGTGTTGTCTTTAGAAATATTGAAATTCGCTTCGAGGAACATGATAATATAATGCGTTATCAACGAAATCGATAACTTAAGATTGAATTATTAATGATTTTAACATAGTCACCTCTTTTCCGATGTCAACAAAACGTTCGAGTTTACTCTCCATGGTCCGAATCGAATCTTCTGACTAGATGAAGATTTGCTTCTTGATCGAATAAATATTATTTCAGCGTCTATTGACGATGTAATTGTCACTATTAACGAGATCTACGTCTTGATGGAATTTCTCTTGAAAATATTTTGTGAAAAATGTACAAATCAAAATGATGGATTTATTTTGAAAATTAATAAATACACATAACATGTGTACCGTGAATGCACAGAATGCGCCATTTCTCGTGTATTATTTTTTCGTAATTTTTTTGGAAAATTTGAAGTTAATTTTTCTGCAGCAAAAATTATTAAATTAGAAACTTTTTTATTATAAATAATTGAAAAAATTTTTTCACTTATTAATTTTCAAAGAATTAAACGGAAATAACAAAATTGTATTCTTAAATTTTATTCTTAGATGTTCACTGTAATAATTTAATTCTGAGTTAATCGTAAAAATACATAATATTAAAAATAGAAGAAGTAAAAAATGTTTCGATAAATCTTTATCTACGTTTTCTGTAAATCAGAAAATTCGATTTTAAATCAGAAGAAAGAATTGAACGCTAAAGAATAATGCACCAAGAGAATATATAACAACAAAATTATTAGAGTATTCTCTCAACTTTTCCTTCTCTCGACTTTTCCTCATTTAAAAAATAAATAATGTATATGTACTTTCCGGAGCACAGTATTATTTATTAATCATGACACATACAAGTATTATATAAGTATTAATCATCTTACAACTCTATCTGTTCTAAGAATCGATCTACATATCGACATACATAGAAATACTTTTTGTATGTCAATATGTAATATTTGCTTGATTTGTAGAGAATTATACTGTTGGAATAATCTCCATAAAAATATAATTAAATTTGTCAAAGATACATTATTTCAATGAAAGTGTGACATTTGCAATATTTTATTTTTTCGAGCTTTTTATTATTTTTATTATTATTTTATTATTATTTTTATTAAATGTATTATTTTTATTTCTTATGATCTAATATAAAAAAAACATCAATAAAGAACTTAATTAACTTGTAGTCTATTTTAATTTCAGATATACGTGATATATTAATATTTTAAATAAGAGCGAACTATCATTCCTTGTTAGACTTTTTCTTAAATTTTTCTTAATATTCCTACAAAGCATATCTTCTCTTATGACATCTTTTCTCTGATTTAATAAAGTTTAATAAAGCAATGTCTATAATTTACAATTAGATGCAAGCAAGTATTGTATCTGTAACTCCGTTAATATTATGTAATATTAAAAGTGATAGAAAAATATCTCGCCGCTACGCTTTTCGTCGTCGCTCTTATGTTTTACGTTTTGTAACACTCCAAATTGATTATGTGTTGTGAACATATGCTTTCTCGATTGGAATATAAGAGGAATGGTTTACTTATTTAATAACCTTTTGCCCGAGTTATCTTCGTGGACCTTATTCTCGATGAACCGTGCTTCGAACAAACTCTTATAGCGGAATCAAGAACGTAAACACATTCTAGATTCATGCGTGCAAGAATAGTCGCTTTAATCTTTTTAACTCGGTAATTTCCCTTGGCTATCAAATGTTCTGCAGTAGTTTGTTCGTCTAGTGCCGGCATCGCCCGAAACAAATCCAATGAATACCTAAGGGAAGTTTGCACGGACGTTTCAATTATTTCGCAATCGTTTGATTGAAAACTCATTTGATTGGCATATTTTATAGACTCACACTTTCCAAAAAAAAAAAGAAACCGATTTTCGATCAATATTGTTTACGATATTTATGTAATAAAATATAATATTGTATATTACTGTGAATATTCATATATCAAATAATTTCAATATCAAATTAATATATTCAATATAAATATTCAATATCAAATAAGAGCAATTTTGTAAATTTGACGATTTTAAATCTATCAAATTTGGAAGACAAAAGCATATCGTTTTAACTTGGATTATTTTATCATAAGGAACTATAATCTTTAATATTACACATTGTAATATTAATTTGTGCATGCTTCGTTATTCAATACTAAATAATTTAATAAAATATTAAAAAATTAAAATTTTAATTTAATAAAATTAAAATGAAACTGTAATTAATAGGATATGTTAGAAACATTTATAGCTATGCTACAAGTATTGTTGTCTTTTGGAGATATCGCGGATAAGTAATCATGTCGTAATACTTAGACGCAATGGTCACGTCAGCATATCTACGAATACACTAAATGAATCCAATTATCCTTTTATGAATCTTCTTGTAGATTACAAGAGCTCACGCATTAGTAATCTTCGAGCAAGGTTGCACGACCACATTGAGTCATTTTCCAACTAGATAAACAGGTAAATTGAAATGAATCGATAGATATATTTATAGAATCGCAAATTTCTAATTGTTTTTTTAACATTGGAAAATTCATGGAAATTTAAATGGAATAAAAATTAAATATAAAACACGAATTAAAACAAATAAAATTGGAAATACGTCCAAATTAGAAGAAAATGACATATTGATATAATTATTAACATTGCATTTAAATGTAATACGATTACATTTCACGCTTTAATTGTAACGTGAAAAGTGCAATTTGTGTAATTCTAAATAAAATTCCTAAATTAAACAGTTAGAATTTCATGTAGCTTTGTGGAATGAATTTCTATCGATATTTATAATTCACCAATTTTTCGCAAGAACGATCGCGACTGGTGATTCATATTGCAGAATATATTTTGCATCTATGATTTTGCATCTATGAGTTGATCGCGATGGTTTCGCTTTAACTCAGCCGCATCCAGCGGCGCGTTAATATCATTTGCAAATCAGAGGACATTGTCGATGTAAACGTGCGAGTTTTATGCACGAGGTGTCTCGGAATAAAACCGGAAAACCACCGCAGATCATTTATGTATGCCTCACCGATCGATCCTTCAAAGCCTACAGGGATGAAGCCTCGCCCTCAGCGAAAATTCAACATTTCTCGAAGGACGAAGGTATACAGAGTGTTGCAGATATCCACTTATTCTTTCTTTTTTTTTTTTTGTCGAGAATATCGAAATCAAATTTATAATGCAAATTTTGATGCATCCATTTATTTAAATTTTTTATTTAAATTATTTAAAATGAACGAGTTTTAACGATAAATTAAAATATAAATTCTCACGAAGGAAAATATAAAGGAAAAAAAATAGAGAATTAAACGTCGCGTTTCCCACATTGACATATACAGCTTTAATTAATTTCCCAGCTATCGTGTGTTTTACTGGGAATGTGTGATAATTAATAATATAGACAATATTAGTAGTTTCGTTCGTTCGTGTTGACTCGTCTCTCTTGGCGACACTTTTCGCAACTTCCGACCTTGGGGGCACTTAGTGTGCGTGAGTTTCGACCGTTCATCTGATGAATTCTCACAACGCACACCTCGCGGCATATCGTATACCAGGTGGTCCATGCAAAATCAGATTTTCAACATATTTGCGATTCGTGAAAATTTCCAGTTCAAAAAAACGAAAAAGGCCAAAATTTTTTTTATTCCCGTTTCTATCGCTTTTCATCAAGTTAATAGTTAATTTGAAAACATATTAAGAACTCTATGTTATTTTGGGGAAAAAAACCAGAATTTTATAACAGCGTGGAAATTCTGAAAATGACTCTAACTGTGATGGATATGTTTGTGTGTGGATGTGGTTATCGCTATCACTAATGAACTGTTGGAAAACTATCTTGTGCGTGGACCACCTTGTATGTATATATATGTATTAACACGACGAACTCACAAACTCACAACGACGATCACGGGACTGACGTAATATCGACTAGGCCCCACTACTCGAATTGAAGATCGGATCGAGGTTTCAAAGTCCCTGACGAGGAGCAACAACGCGCCAGTATGTTCCTTTCGTTACTGAAGGTAAGACGTGAGTAGAAGACATTTGAAATAATTCAACATTAAATACAGAATACTTTGAAATTTCCAGAAACACAATCCAATTAACTAGAAAACGCGAAATAATTACGAGTGATTACGTCAAAGATTAAAAATAGGAGTAATAAATTATCGCTAGAAAATCCAAAGTAATGCAATATAAAATAAAGAATAAGAAATCTTTTAATATATTAAAATACCATATTAAAATACTTGATGAGAGTTTTATTTTCTATATTTTTTTTGTGCTAAATTATAGCAGATTATAGTGTTATTTTTATTTTATTTTTTATTTTATTTTTTATTTTCGGTAGAATATTTTTGCTTACTATCGAAGTAACTGTACGAGAAAGTATTATCGCATTAGCCTACTGCTAATCGGGTCAATCGGGTGTGATATCAACTTAAAATATTCGATCGATCGAATTAATTAATTACGGACACGTTACAGTTCCAGACAGCAAAAATGAAGACGTTACTCTTGGCCGTTTTCGCGTTGCTGTGCATTCAAGCGGTGTTCAGCGTAGATCCTAACGAACACAACAAAGTAGTTTGCTATTGGAATAGCACGGCTTACGAAAGACAAGGTGAGTCTATTTGTTAGTTATGCTCATTACTCATACTCACATGCGAAGCACGGGGTCTGCGACTTGGAAGGATATCATATATTCTACAATCTCGCGGATTGAAAAAAAGAATAATTCTCACGAGAATCGCTTCTTAGAAATTGAGAGCTATGTTAACAAAATCATAAACGTAAAATGTGTAAGACACTTGACGTAAGAACATGACTGTTAACATATTCGTTAATATTATAAGAATAAAAGAGGAAATTTTTATCATTTCAAAAAATATAATCTTTTTATTATTAATTCATAAAAGTAAATTATTTGCAAATGTTAAATATAATTTTTAATGACTTTATATTTTTTTATTTTTTAAATTGTAATTGATATACAACGTGTTATCGTTATCTTATTGTTATATCTCCACTGTTACTTTATGTACTTAATTTTTTAAAATTAATATAATTATGAATAAGCTGTGTGTGAAATCTTCCTTGGAAAGTTTTCGTTATATAATATTTCCTTCTTCCTTATTACGATATGTGAAATCGATAACGTATGATGTGTCAGTCGAAGTTTCTCTGGTTTGTATTTATTAGAGAAGGTCTGTCGCACTTGTGTTTATATTGCGATAGACGTTACCAACAATCAAATATATCACAAGAATACAAATCTAACATAGATATGTCACAATAATTTCATAACTGGCAGCTGGCAATATTACAAATAATAAATGTGATTTTTTTATATAAATTCTATGTAATAATAATGTGATTAAACTTTTTTACGTCCCCTCAATCTTTAATTCTTTAATTTAAATAAATAATCAATATTATTATTATCAATGTGTGCTTGGTATTTACAAAATTTTCTCACTTTCAAAGGTCCAGCCAAATTTCAAATTGAAGACGTTAGACTCGCTTTATCTCTCTGCACTCACCTTATCTACGGATATGCTCACATCAATTCTGACTTCGAGATTGTTCCCGGCTCACCGAGTTTAGATACCGGATCGGGTTACTCCTATTACAGACTCGCCACGCAACTGAAGAGATCGTTTCCCGATTTGAAGGTTTATCTGAGCGTCGGAGGAAACTCCGATCCTTACGATGAGGAACACAAGTATCTCGTGCTGGTAAGTGCGAGTCGGATATCAGTATTACGATTTCATATTGTTTCGCGTATTCTTTTCACTTGGAATAAAATCGCGTTAAAATAAAACTTTCGACTGTTTACTCAAGGCGACCGAGGCGATTCGAGAAAAAGAAATAATATCGAAATAATAAAATAATAAAAGATTAAACGGAATGACAAAAATTTTTGGGCCGATAGACCGAGACTTCAGAAGGCAGAACGAAGTTTATCAACTCCGTGAACCGTTTGCTGAACGATTACGACTTTGATGGAATCGACCTGGCATGGCAGTTTCCACCAGTAAAGCCCAAGAAAAACCGTGGCACTTTTAGTTCCATCTGGCACGGTATCAAGAAGAAGCTCGGCTACGGGAAATTCAAGGACGAGAAGGAGCAGGAGCATCGCGATGGTTTCACGATTCTGGTTCGTGATTTGAAAACGCAATTGAGACCGAGATTCAAGGCCCTGACTCTCACGGTGTTGCCTCACGTTAACGCCAGTGGTTTGTATCTTATACTAATTTAAAAAAATTATTTTAAACTAGACAAGATGTTTCTTGTTGCTTTTTGAGTTCCTAAAAACAATGTCGCAAGCGAAATTTTTCCAGCATGCCAGATTTCCAGAATAATTAAGATTTAATATACAAAAGCTTCTTTTGCAAAATTTGAAGATTTTTTTTATAAAAAGGTTAACAATATCTTGAAATTTGGATTAGAAAAATCATGAATGTATTGTTCATCCTCTACAAAAAATTCTTGTTTCTTTATTTTATTTTATTATCTTACTTTTTATCCATATTATGAAGAATATTAATAGAGTTTTGCTAAGATAACAAAGAGATTTTCTCTCAGAGACAAAACTCTGTATTAAAATTCTTCATAATATAACTAAAAAATAAGATATTAAAATAAAAAAAAGTTTTTTATAGGGATGAACAACACATTCGATGACTTTTGATCAGCATTTCAAGATGTTGTCAATCTTTATGAAAAATCTTCATAAAAAAAAATATCATAAAAAAGCTATTTTTACATATTAAGCCTCAATTATTTTGGAAATCTAACATTGCTAAAAATTTGCAGCATCGCTTTCAACATGCAAAAATTTATAAGCATCTTGTTTAGTTCAAAATAATAAAAGAAATATTTGTTATAAATATAATAAAGATAATAAAATATTATTAACAATTGTTAACAAATCATTATGATTATTTTAGCACTGTTATTCTAGTATCGTAGTGTCTACATTCAATTTTATTTTTATTTTATGATTTTTTTTTATAGTTTACTACGATGCCAGATTATTGGCGCCCAACATCGAAGCCGTGCATCTATTTGCTTTCGATCAAAAGACGCCGGAGCGCAATGCGAAGGAGGCCGACTTCCCAGCACCAATTTACGCCAGTTACGGCCGTGTTGCCGAAGATAATATTGATGTTCAGGCAAGGTAAACCCGATTCTTTCTCGCAACTGACATCCCGTCAGTATTTTCCTTTTATAAAATATAGTTTAACATATATAACGTAATAAATTTATGACAGTTACGGACACGAGAGAGATGACAATATTGATGCTGCGGCAAGGTAAACACCTTTTTCCCGTACAACGCACTTATTTTAACATATAAAACATGACATGTACATGACATGTCCCGCCTAGTAAATTTACACGCAATCCTACGTTTTAATCTTGTTGATTTTTCCGTACTGCCAAGTTTTCATATTTAAATTTACTTTCTTGCCTACTTAATTCACAATCCGTTGATTAAATAAATTACAATACGTAATTTATTTTTGTCGGATCGATTATCGTTTATAATTCCTACATATTAACGATTATAAATATTCATTAACAGTTTTAACGTATCCCAGATGCCAAACGATTACGAACCTGCGTTTACACAAATCTTTCTTTTATGTTAAGTGCCGGTGGCATACTTCATTAACTTGTTAAAAGCGGATTATTTCTTGCACAAAAGCTTTTACGACTCGATGAAAATTGATAAAAATCGGAATGATAAAAATAACTTTGCAGATACTGGTTGGAGCATGGGACTCCTGGCAGCAAGATTGTCATCGGCATTCCTACGTACGCTCGCACGTGGAAACTGACGGCTGACAGCCAGATTTCTGGCGTACCGCCCATCGTGACTGATGGCCCGGGTACACCCGGACCTCACACCAACGAGCCGGGATTGCTGTCCTACGCCGAGATGTGCGCCAGGCTGACCGAGCACGCGGTGGGACGACTGCGACGAGTCAGCGATCCGTCCAAGAAGTACGGCAGCTATGCTTATCAGGCCTACGACGGTGACACTGGAACCGAAGGAATCTGGGCGGGTTATGAGGATCCGGATACCGCTGGTAACAAGGCTGCGTATGTGAAGTCCAAGGGTCTCGGCGGTGTGGCGATCGTGGATCTCTCCCTGGATGACTTCCGGGGCGTTTGCACCGGCGAGAAGTACCCTATCATCAGAGGAGCTAAATACAAGCTGTAGAGATGAGCGGAGAAGATTCGAAATCGCGAATCGGCAATCGGAATCGAGATTTGGAAATCTAGCCGCGATATCCGAGCGAGAGGATTTTAATTGATTTCGGAAAAGGAATATTTTGGATGCTGGTCGTGATCCTACTACAGTGATCGTATTTATATGTCGTCCTATATGAGCTGTATATTTCGAGACTTTTAACGAGGAAATTTTTAACGAGCGAATTTTAATGAGGATCGTAATGCCGATATTTTAGATGTATTTTACTTGAGAATAATAAAAATATCGCTGCTTTATTATTCAGGTCCTTTGATCTTAATCCCCCATTGTTTTCGAGAGGTGAGCTTATCCCACAAAGAATAACTGTATTAACAAAATAATCTCAGTAAGAATTCAGTTTGCATAATACTCATTTGCGAAGTTATATCGCATATTAAAATTGTTTTTTTTTTTTGTAAATGAAAAAGATTTATACTGTTGTCTGATTTTGAAGACAAGGCAATTTTAGAGGGTGGGTTTTTTTTCAACTTCAATGTACTTCATATAAGAAATATAAGAAAATACTAATCCCAATGAAAAAGGAGGAAGGTAAAAACGAGACTGAAAGATGCATATCAAGAGAACTATTCACACACACACACACACACACACACACACACACACACACACACACACACACACACACACACACACACACACACACACACACACACTACACACTACACACACACACACATATGTTTATTATAGATAATAATTGTTTTTCGTGCAGTCTATTTTTTCGGCCAAACGATACATTTTGGGTGTATAACAAAGGTTCTTTTGTAAATGTGACTATAGACATATCCAGGATATCGAGGATTACGTCAAACCGGATATAGTTAATAATCCGCAGCCATTCTCACACCGGTTCGAGTCAAACTTCTTCTTATTTCGGCACAGTGAATCAAAAATAAAAAAAAAAAAAAAAACCGAATACGCACACAGTGACTCACTGATACATAAATCTGACCAACTATCGCAATTTATTCGATTCGCGATCTACATCGATCGCGCATCTCGATCATACTGAACGCCGTGTGGTGGATCGTGTGTTTCGTATCATAAACTCGTAATGCGTATTTTTACAAAATACTGGAGGTGTGTAATAGTTTTACGCTTCTATGCTATAGTTGATAATTCGATAGAGTTACATTAACAAAAAACACTCGTGAAAATATATAATATACATAACATTGTAATATATAACATATGATAGAATATAGCTTTCTCTCTCTGTCCTCCCTCGCTCTCTAGCTTAATCCCGCTCTATAAGAAGTCTATAATTATTTCATTTCGATCCGCAGGTCCACGCTTGTTAAAAACCAACGGAGAATCTTCGTAAATGCTCCTTAAATGCGCACATCATTTTCACGATCACAAATCAGAGGTGTAAATTAGCAATAGAAATGAGACGAACGAAACGAAAAAAAAGAGGCTGCTGACGATTTCGAAAAATTCGTAAGATCCGATCAAGATTAGCACCGAGCCCACTTATCGCTGTTAATCATATAGAATTTATTAAAACGCGGTGGGCTCAAACGCGAAACCGACTCTACTCCCTCGTGACGTTCGTTCGCGGACAGAAGAAGGATCGTTTTATATTTATTTATTTAATATGCATGTGGGTGTCTACGACACGACGAGGGGGAGTGCGTATCTCGAATCATCGCGTCACGAATTACGTCAGACATCACACATTTTGTTTGTTATTTAATATACTGGAACGTTCATTCGAATGCTTAGGTTTTATAGGCTTTAATGCTGTCGCGACGCAGTATGGCACTTGGATTACGCGTGTACATCCGTTGTCTGCAGGTACTTGCCGCTCCTCTCCGGACGCTCTTCGCCGTTAACGAGACAACTCGAGGAGCCAAGCGAACGTAGGAGGTATATCACGAAATACTACGAATTTATTCCGCAAACACAAACAACTGTTATTCGCTAAAATATTTACCCACATTATCAATCTAATAACGCGGCGATATCAACTAAAACTAGAGAACAAATAGCTTCTATAACCATCAGATTACAGAATTAATAATAACAATAGCTTCAAAGATGACAGTAAATTGTAACTATCTTAAACGTTATTTAAATATGCGTTTAACATTCTATTTTCTCTAAAGCTATTTTTTCTTTTTTTTTTTATGTAATGTACTTCCTCCATCCACTCTCTCCTCACAAACGAACGCATTCGCAAAGCTGCCGTGAATAAATTTTCGCGCCCGACAGTCGTCGGTCTGTTTCTCGATATAAAAAATAATTCGGAGTGGTGCTGTCGCGCAAAACTTTTGGGAGGAGCTCGCGATTTAGCGTCCGCGATGATCCCAGGCAGTTTCGTGGAATGAAATTGGTTTTTTTTTTTTACTTTCTCTCTTCCTCGCCTCCTCGCTACGATCGTCTTTGGTTCGCTTTTGCGTGGATGCGGAGGGGTTTACGAACTATTAATTAACTACGCGCGATTATATATTAGCACGACATAAAGTGGAGATTTTGACTTTTTTTTAAATCAAGCGACGACGCGATTTTTTTCACATTGAAAAAGCAATACACGATAATAATGGATAGGTCGATCAATGCTAAGTTTCTTCTTTTGGATTGCAACACTGACCACTTTGTCCTATAAAAGTAAAAACGTCCGATCAAAGCAATAAGAGGGATGTTGGATGTTGCAGCCGGAGTAGCGGATCGGATACGCAGCTAGGATATAATCTCTATCTCTAAACTGAGGATAGGGTTGGGAAGAACAAAATGGAAACGATTTCTGTTTCTAAGTGCTTTGTGCGTTATCGAGGCCGCGATAGCTATAATGAGAAATGACGCTTCAGAAACAAATCGTCGTGTAATGATTTTCTCGTTATTAATAATCATTCTTAACGAAACTGAAGATGATAATTAAAAAAAATAAATACATTATTACTAATAATGAACTAAAGAAAAAGATAAACTCATATTTCTGTCATGTCTCTTTCAATATGCAACATATTGAAACAAACATATTATAAATATAATTATAAGTATTATTGAAAAATGCATAATAATGCCTGAGAATCCAAGACATAAAAATAATTTAAACAACATGAAAACAAAAGTTTTAAATAGTCTTCATTCATTAGAAAAATTAAGATTATTAAGAAAGGAAAATAAATGCATACGGGAGAGATTGTCTATCTGCGATTTCTCCCTTGTCTCTTCCCAAATTCTGAACAAACAGAATTTAAATAAAAAGAAAATTTACCGAAATTATTAAATACGAAAGCAGACTCGAAGCTTCGATCTTCGCGGCTGCACTCGGCCGCGAGTAACGCCCGAAAGCAGGATTCCAGATACGAGCATATTAGACTACTACGGTGTTTTCTTAAGAAGCCTATTACACGCTTTCTTTTTTTTTCTTTTTTTTTAAGTTTCTTTTCTTCTCTCTCTCTCTCTCTCTCTCTCTCTCTCTCTCTATCTTTTACGCTAATCTCTACATGACGGAACATCGCTTGACGTTGTACCTATTATCTTGGTCCACATTGTTAATGCTGAGTACTTTGAGGAGCCTCTCGGTGTCCTTGAAGCTGTGCCTGCCGCGCTGCTGCTGCTTCATCAGCATCATCGTCGCCGTGGTTGTCGCCGTCTTTTTCTTCTTCTTCTTCTTCTTCTTACGTTTAGTCTGCGGCAACGTCAGCTCCAACATCTGCTCGAGGCGCAGTCGAATAGGCCAACTGGCGTTACCGTCCTCGGCGTCCCGATGATAGGCGTAGCTCGACGTATTAGGCTCCTGATAATCCCGGCGCTCCTGCCACCACCACGGATTCTTGCACGAACTCGTCGTCTGTTGATCCCGCTGTGGGTCCCGATAACCATCCTCCTCGGCCATCGCCCGTCTGGGTTGTACAAAGGAGTCATGAACGCGAACCGGTCGAGCCAGCGACGATCTCTTCTTGACTGGTGTAAGATGCGCGGACTGATGCCTCGCCAAGGACTTGCTCAAGCTGTTCCTGGTGCTCCGAATTCTCCTGAGCTCGTCGGGCGAAGACATCGGTGCCTCCTCGTCAAGATACAACTCCGCGCCTGAAGCAGGCAAACGGTAATTACCGCGAATCCGATGGTTAACGACGGCGGCCCCGCTCTCGTTCTTGCCGCCGTTATTGTTGTTACTGTAGTTATTGTTGTTGTTTCCCCCACTGCTGGGGTTGTTGTCCACGTGACGACACTGCTCGGCACATTGCAGACAATCGTAATACTTCTCGGCGACGTGACGACGCCCCGAGAAACGATCGCGCAGATCGGTGCAACGGCGATGCTCGTTGTTCGTGATTGCGCTACCACCGCGTATGCTCTGATAATGATAAGGCTGCTGTCACACCTCCTGCAGATACTTGAGAGGACAGAGGATCTCCTTGTAGAGAACGTCACCCTCTTTGCCCGTGTGATCGGCGGAACGTACATCTGCCGCGCATCTGACCATTGCCACTCCATCCATTTCTTCGCCCACTTGGATCACGATCTACGTAGATGTACACGATGATGAAGATGATGATGAATAGGATCAAAGGATTACATTTTCGCGTTAAAAAATTTTGAATTAAAGATTTTAAAAAAGAAATATTTAGCAGATATTTTGAGAATGATTTCTGTTTTACATATATCATGTATTTATGGAACAAATTCATGGAAATTGGACACAATGGGATTTGTGTTGGAATTGTAGATATTAAGAATTAAAAAAATTTTTTATAAATATAGATTTAAAAGAATTTTTGTTATTTATTAAAAATAATTCCCAATAAAAAATTTTTTATGAAAAATATAGAAATATATATAAACATAGAATTATATATAAAATATGTCCATATATGTTTCTTTGTCTTGTATAATCTCTGTTCATATATAGGAAAAATAATAAAGAAAACAATAAACAAATAACTTTTGCATTAATTTTCTTACCAGAAGTAAAATTGCGATTATATTATATATTGTTCTACATATGATCATATACATAATTTTTTTATATGATTATTATATTTATCATAAGATAGATACACATTTCTCATTTCTCAACTTCACTTTTTATACAAAAAACAATATAAAAATTATCTTTTTAATTATTTTTTATTTCTTCTTTGTATTATTTTCTCATATATATAAAGAGAAATTATACAACAGAAAAAAACATATGTAAACATATTTTATATTACTTTATATTATTATTATACATATTTATACATGTTCTTATATGAAAATTTTTTACCGGCTACATTTTCAGTAATCGAGAAATTAAAATAGAAATTTCACGAGGAGTTTTACATAAATTAATTTAAGTATTAATATCATGAATTTAAAAATTTTACAATTTTACATTAGACACTATTTTAATGATTTTATATTTTAATGATTTTAATGATTTTATATTTTAATGATTAAAAACAGATTGTTATTTAAAGATTTTAATGAATATTGTGAGTAAAAATATGACAAGACGAGTTGAAATTCTGATGATCAAAAATCATTTCTTACATAACATTTCATTTTCTAGGGAAAATCTAACACTATGTAAGGTATCTATAAATACCTGATCTCGTAGAAGAGTAGTTTGATCAGCAAGCTGCAGATTGCGTGTGACTTGAAGAGTCCTTTGACCGGATTCCACCCGCATCACATATGCACTTGGAAAATAACCGGCACGGCCGCCTAGACATTTGCCCTTCCACCAATCTTTCTCCGATTTATCGATCACCGTGATCTTGTACCCGGCCCTATAATTACGAGGAATGCGTACATAAATCAATACCATTACGCCACGCCCTATACAAATCAAACGCACGTGGTAACTTGCGCGTTTATTAAAACCCGACTTGTGATATATATATGAAAAAAGAAAACGTATCAAACGAAGTGGTGCACCGCATAATTTTCTCGACTGCGAATAAATCTTACAAGAACGAAATATAACGCGAATCAACGTGAATCCCTTTCAATTTCTGAAAGAAATAAGCCGTATTACAGGCGTGATGATGTGATAAATACACGTGATTTTAAAATCGCCTTATCGTTGAATTCTCTTTTCTCAATCGCGTTCAACAACGCGATGATTCATTTATTTTGTATGTCCTTTTCTTTGAATGTAGATGAATTTGAAACTCGGTTTAATTTATTTTCTTCTATCTTTCTTTAATTCCTAGAACCAGAAAAAGATAAAAAGATAATTTAATTAAAATTCAAATTAATTTACGTTACAAATAAATAATAGTCATCTTTTTTATTTTTAAATTATCTGTAAACTCTATTTAATTCAATTTTCAACCTTTTCCTAATTTTTAGAAGAATTAGAAGAGATAAAAAGTAAAATAAACTGAAATTAAAATTAATTTATATCGTTTATTTACATAATTAAAAATGAACATTAATTGCTTTTATTCATTTCTGCTAAATCAATATAAATATATACATATCTTTAAACTTAGTTTAATTTACTCTTTTTATCTTTTTCTAAAAACTAGAAAAAAATAAAAAGTAATTAAACCAAAACCGTTTACTTCATTAATAGAAATAGATAATATAATTGTCTTTTGAGTGTTCATTTTTATCAACATAGATTAATGCGATTTATTATCTTTTTCTAATTCTAAATTTAATGAGACAACAAGTTAGTCAAATTAATACTAGATCAAATTAATAGAAGAGATTACTAGAAATAAAGATTAGATATAATAAGATTAGATAATACTAGAAATTAATCGCTAATACCTTCATTTCCTCGCTCTTTGTGTTGTTTCGTATCACCACTGTAACCCAATTAAAACTTCGCGCTCGAAATCGCGGAAGAAGACGACCTCTTTTATTCGCTATGAAGTACGACGTATCCATCGCCTTCCCGTTTTCGAACTAACGCGTCGTCGTGTAATATTTCGAACCGAAACGAGCACGCGATAGCGGCCGAAAACTCGTAAACAATCGCTGTGTTGTTGTTGCTGTCGCTAACAGTCGCTCGAGTCTGCTACGGGGAATTTCTCGAAAACACGGTTTCTTGGAAATCCCGGACCTCGGTAAGCCCACTCGCTCACTCGCTCACTCGCCGAGTCGCTCGTTCACTCGCTCACTCGCGCCGAGTCGCTCGCTAGCCAGCCTAATTGGAGTGGGGGGTGAAAACGTTCGGCAGTCGCGTCGCTTACTCTTTACCGTTTGGTAGCGGCGCACGCGCGCTCCGACGTTTCTTCGCGGTTTTCCAACGGTTTCTCGCGCATCTTGGCGAAAATATAAAGATTGGAGCGTGAACTTATCGTAAGGGAAAAATGGTAAAAGCACGAGGGAAGCTCCTAGACAGCGTAAATTGAAACATCGGGATATAAAAGAGACGTTAAACTTTAATGTCTTTTTTTTATGCTCCGATGTTTGTACTTTCTAGAAGCTTCGTTTATGCTTCTATCATTTTTCCTTTATGCTAAACTTTTTATGTTCCAATTTTTTTTATTTTCGTCAATGTAAAGACGAATCTCGCGTGCGCGAATGAGTGTTAGCGGTGTCGGAGATGCGGAATCGAATAATAAAAAAATGGCCGTTAATTCGGCCATTAATATTTGAACGTAATCGTCCGCGTCTGTTCGTTCGTCCAGTTGTTCGCAATTTGTTTGATTTTCGGATAATATCGCAAGTGCAATCGAGCAAGAAGAAAGGAGAAAAACAACTCAGGATCGAACGATGGATCGATCGATGGATCAACGAGTGGAGCACCATATTCGCTCGGCGACGCCGTTAAATTTTTCCTCGATGGAGACGCAATTCGGCACTTTTAGGTTTCTAACCATAAATTAATTTGCGAAATTTTTGTAATAGTTAAACGCAAAATTGATCGCCTCTTACGAAAAATCCGCCCTTGAATACGGTTTTATCATCGATATTTTCGAGAGTTTCATCAAGTGAACAGCTTCGTATGGCTGTAGCGTCCCTATGATTTGCGTGCAGATAGCGCGGCAGTTTCATCAAATGAAATTCGCATGATCATAGCATTACTCTATAAAATATTTCGCGTCGATAACGTAGATTTTTCTTCGATTGAATTCAGATTTTGATCAGATGATTTACTCATATGATAAACTTTTATTACGTCGGACGTTATCGATTATGTGCATGAATTAATTCAAGTATGCGATATTCAAATCTTTCGTAAATAATACTTGTTTGCATTGTAACAGTAGTATTTATATATGCAATATTTCTTATCAAAAATATAATTATATACCAGTAAGTGTCGCATATATGCAAATATATCGTATATATAAATTATAATTAGCAGTGATTGCAATCAATTTTTATTTTAGTATAGATCTAGAGATTTTTATACAGGTTTCATAATATAATTATTACTAAATTATATTAAATTTTTTAAATTACTAGATGAGTTAATTGAATAATATAATATCTATGCATGTAGCAATTATCAGTAGTATTTATGCATGTAGCAATTATCACGATCAATTTTTACTCCAGCCACAATCACTATTTATAGATGTTTTATAAAAATTTTATAGTTAATATTATTTGATTATTAAATTTTTTAAATTACTGCATAAGTTAATTAAATAATATAATTTTTACGCATGTAACAATTACCGATCGTGATCAATTTTACTCTAGTCACGATCATTGTCTATAAATGTTTTATAAAGATTTTATAGTTAATAGTTATTTGATTATTAAATTTTCTAAATTTACTGCATTAATTGATTGAATAATGTAATATTTATGCATGTAATTGATAGTGATCGCGATCAATTTTCATTTTAGCCGCGATCATTGATCAATAAACGTTTTAAAAAAATAAGAAGTAATTGATATTATAGTTAAATTTTTAAAATTATGTGCATGAGTTAAAATATGATATTTAAGAAAAATATGTAATATTTATGCATGCAATAATTTGCAGAGATCGTGATTAATTTTTTCTTTAGCCACAATCTCTGCTCAAAATTATTCACGTAGTTTAAAAGCTGTATTTAAATACTGTTAATTGCAATTATTATATTTATTAAATTATGTACATGAATTAATAAAACGCTTTTCTATAGTGCACTTTTTTAGATAAAAATAATTAGTAATAGTTCGCTGTAGTATAATGCTGTGATCACGATTATAAAGTTAATTCGATTTTTTCATCATATTAAACTAAAATTCTTTTAAGTTATTGAAAAAAATGTCATGTAAAAATAAACATACGGCATCAATAAACATTAGAGAAAATATCAATAATTATCTTATTATTCATGAGTATAGTTAACAATGAATTTTTAGTATTTTGAATTCTAATTTGATTAAATTTGGAGAGAAAAATGAAAGTGTCAAATAAATCAACGAACAATATTCCTATTTTCGTTTTTTTTTTACTTTGGCAATGATTTACAAAGTAACGAATGATTTCAATGATTTAATTAATCTTCGTAATTTAATATCATGTTGTGTTATTTATTAATCTCGGGAGTGTATCAAAGTGCATTAAATAAATAAGTAAATATATAGTGAAAGTGTGCAAATGAATCAAAATGAAATGAAATAAAGAGTGATCGTTAATGAGTGTGTAATAAATCAGTGAATGTGTATAAATCAGTGTGTGTAATAAATTAATTTTCATATTTATGTGATCATGTGGAATAAAAATGCAATAAAAAGGAATAGCAGAGAAGCAGAGAACAACTGGCGACGCATCGACTGGTGAGTCAATTCACTTGCCATTATTTACAACATTTTTTATCATTGCATAGCGATAAGTTCAACGATAGCAATTACGAATACTTATGCACGAAAAAATGTTTAAGATATCTAAACTCAAAGATTTATAAATTTTTTTTACGTAAGAAAAACGACTTTGAGATTATAATTGCCGTTAAATTATAACATTTTTATTTATAAATTACATTTATAAAATCAAAATTGCGCGAATTCCAACATCAATTAAAATACTTATTAGAAAGCAATAATACGTTATAAAAAGCTAAAATGAAAAAAGTTAATAATACAAAAAAAAAAAATAAAAAAGTTATAATAAAAAATACAAAAGGTTTTTCATTTACTGATGTGCTTTATGCACTTTTTTTTTTTTTGGAATAAAAAGTACTCGTAATTAATTTAGATTATTATTGTGAGACTTCGCGAAGAGAAAACGCTGGAAAAACGCTGACTTTTTTTTTCTACGAGGTAGAGATAAGCTCTTACTTGAGATCCAGCTCGTCTGGATGTCGCGCCTCGAAGTTGTACAGAACGACGTAGAGATTGTTCGGCGGCAATACGCGTTTGCCGCCGGGTGGGTTCAAGTGATTCTGGTTATTGGTATGCGGCGACGGACACGGTGACGTGCTCGCCGACGAGTACGATTTCTCATTTTCATCCGGCAGCTCCATGCTGGACATCCGAATGGCGCTTCTCACATGTTTATGCATGCTGTGGCTCTGGCCCGGGCTGCAGGGCGCTGGAAATAACATTCGCGCGCAAATCCGTGGTTTGTACATTATCCGAGAATTAATTAGGTTTATTACATGCTAAATGGCCACTTTGTATCTTTAGGCAAAATGAATGTCGTGTCCTGAATACAGGGGATTTGGATGGTGGTCTCTTTTCATTTGAAGCGAACAATTTTGATTTTATCTCGACGAAACGCGAATATACTTTTCAAAGGGTAAAAGGGTGCGGATTGTAAGCAAAAACTTACACATATAGCTTAGGTGTCGAGTTCCACGTACTGAAATTTTTTATTTTGTTATTAACACAATCTTCTTCCCGATTTACATTAAAATTATAAAATAAGAGTATAGTTTTAATATTACGCATTGTATGAAGGATATTATACCTTTATAATACATTGTATCTCTTTTTAATTACAATAAAAAGATTATGAAAAAATTGTAAATTATTTTAGATCGCATTTAAAATTTTGCATTTTGTTTCAGAACTTGGATAAAAAATTGTTTAAATATAAAGTAGAAATATGCTTTAATAGAAACATAAAATATTGATCAAATCTCAATTTTTTATATAAATACTTTATATATTCAAGATGATTTATATAAAGTTTCATTGTGATGCAGAGATTAACTGCTTTGTAAATAAACATTTTTATTAAAAATACAAATGAAAGGAACAGTAGCAAAAATAAAATAAAATTTTTATTTACAGAACTAATCCCTACATCGCTATTTACTTTACATAAATAATCTTTAATATTCAAAGTACATAAAAAATTTGAAATTTGTGTCATTATTTACTTAATAATATTTCCATTGGAGCACATTTTTATTTATTTATTCAAATAATTTTTTATTCAGGTTGTAAACCGCCACTTAACTTTTTTGTATTATTGCTAAATGCGGCTTAGAATCTGTAAATTTTTTACAATTTTTTTATTATAAATATAAAAATTATAGAAACAGATGTAATACATCTTTAATGTTCAAATTTCAAAAATTAAAATAGATATTTACATATCACACGCGATCACCATCGAGCTCGAAATTAATTTACTTTCGTAATTTGAAGTTTTTTTACAGCTAAATTATAGATAACTTTAAAGACGCCCGAAGACGTTTGGGTCTAACGAAACGAATTTACAAACGATCCTACACACGGTTGAAAGCTCTGCGAAACGATCGTTTCATATATGCCGACTTATAATATTGCGTTACGGACTACATTATTACATTTGCGGTTACTCACATAGCCTGTTGATGCTGCCGCTGTCAGAATGTCGGGGCGGTGTGGTTTCTCTGGGACCTGCGGCATAGTAATCCCGTGGACGATGTCGCACGTGCGCAGTGCCTTCCGGTGAGTCCAGGCTGAGACTCTTCATCCGCAGGTTCAGCCTCTCGCGTCTACGTTGCGGACTATGCGGCGCTTGGTTTTTCACAATTGTCGGTTAGATGAAAATGTGATAGCCATAATAAAAGAGTCGTCTTTTCCACGCTGACGTCGAACAAATTAATAAGAAATCGCGAGAGATCTAAATCATTTCGACATTTGTCGTCTCTCTATTGAATCCGAAATTGGAAATTTTGTTAAGTGTGAATTTGCTAACGAAGAATTAGGAGTGATATTTTTCTTTAATATTATATTTCAAATAATTAGAGCGTTGTAGAAGTGATTTGAAAATTAGTTGTTAGTAATGAGAAATTCAGTCAAAATTTATTTGACTTTATTTATTAATTTTTTTTCTTAACACAGAATTGCCTTTAGAATTTTTAGAATATGAATATGAAAAATTATGAAGAACGGTAACAATTACGGAGTTAGTGAAAATTAATTAATTAATCAAGTGATAAATAATCATTCGTAATGTTGCAAGTAAACTTCGACAAATCGAGAAAATATTTATCTTTAAAAAAAATAATCGATCGTCAGCGTCGAATATAGAAATACCGGCTGCACGAGCAAGCAAGACAATCAATCATTTACAAATGCACTAATTACTTAACGTAATTTATACACTGAAATAAAAAGCTTATAAACAGCACAATATAACGGGACACGACTCGCGAGAAAATATGAAAAAAATCGAAATTGCGGAAAAAAAGATTTTTATTTACAATATTTATATATACTTTTGTCGGAAAAAATTCGTAGATAATATTCTCGATAGATGTAAGGCAACGATTTTCTATATAACGAGTCCTCCGTATCTAAGTTATACATGGGATATTTTTAATCTTCTTCTCCTCCTAATCGCCTATTTCGACTTTCGACGGTATAAGCGTTGCATTGTGCAACAATAAATTATAATAAAGCAAAACTGCAATATTCGGTGCATAAAAATTCAACTGAGCTTTTTGTAGCCATAAAAATGAACATTTCTCGTAACGAATTTAAGATATGTCGTCGCACAAAGATTTTAACGTCTCTCTAAGATCACTGTTAAATATTTCCTTTCATCGTTCTACCGATAAAAGCATGTCGCTAAAATTTTATAGGATAATGGAGCTGTACGTTCGTTTGTTTCTAAGATTACTCTCGTATTTAGTTCCACTCCAAAAACAGAAATAAACGAAAAAGAAAATAGCGCGCGACGGAACAATCGCCTATTGGGGATTGAAACATGAAACAAATCTGTTCATTGCGATAATAAAGAACCCTACAGCGAGAAACCGATGAAACAGCCTCTCGTTCGCTATCAGCGTAAAAAGAGCGATAGTTGGCCGTGTTATATCGATTTAAATCGACAACAAAGCGCAATTTGTCTTCCGTCGATTGTATTTACATGCGTACGTAACGAACCACAAACTGCAATTGCTTTTCCGTTCACTCGAGCAATAAATCCATTTTCGAGATTTAATATTTGTTAAGGCCAGTATCTATAAACATACCGTGACTTGAAATATCTCTGAAGAAATTTTTATTGAAAGCAAGATTTTATTTCCCTTTTAATCTGCTTTTTCTCCTCTGTGATTTACAGATTATTTGCATGAAAGAGGAATAACAAGAATAACAAAGAACATGAATCTTAAATAAATTCAGTCTTTCGGAATAATAAATTAATAATTTCTGAAAAGAGGAAAAAATATAATAAGTACAAATTTTTTTTTAATTCACGTATTCTTTCAGATGAACAAAAACCTTCTATCTTTTGCTACTTTTTTGCTGCTTTTACATTTTATACATGTTAGATTCTAGAAATAAAAACATAGCATGTACCGAATTGAAATTTTCATTCAAATCGTCCTTTACTATACGACACCATACGAACAAATTTTTCGTTTTTTCTAGAAAGGCGCTTTTGTTGTTTAATCATTAAACAATCCTAAAACCATGAATCAATCGTTGCGAATTTGCCGGACGGTAATGATAAATAAATAGGCGAACACATTCCGTAATGTTAGGCAAATTAGATTCAAATTAAAAGGGTGTACTTGCACTCGTCGTTCTCGTCGATTTTGCGTGAGTCCCACACAGAGTCCCACGCATTTTTTATATAATGTGGATCGTGCATTTCCTTCCTCTCCTCTTCCCTCTTCTTCGTGCATCTGGCTAATTATCTCGGGGAAATAAATTTCCAATGATCGTGCATTCGTAATGGACGCGATCGTTGATTCGCGTGAGAAACCTGCTTTTCGATCGTTGTTGATATAATATATAGCGAGCTATATGTATATCAGTCGGATCGATACACTCGACTGAGAATTGACACTCACGTTTGCGCATCTGTCCGATATTTCGCTGTCTCCATGGTTGTCCATTAGCGACTATTAATCAACGAACGCGAAATACGTCTCTCTTCGAGCATCAGGGAAACACAGTCGAGTTGTAGTAAATTAACGTGTAGATGCCATTATACCGTACAACACGTACGCTTAATAGACATTTCGAAATACCCGTCGGATATCCCTAAATATATCCCGCAATATCCAGACCCTTTTAATATTTCATAATACCGCCTATTACACAGTAACCGCGTGAACAACATAAAATATTCATTCACATTCCCTCGCGTATGATATAATAAAGTAACGATGGCTGATGGAAATTGAAAAATCTGCAGCATTACCGGGACATTGAGATGTCTCGCGGATGATCAAGAGAACGTTCGTCAAATATATGTGTTCCCTTCGCGCGGAGTGGATGGAAAAATGTGTTTGGGAAAACGGGCAAACGGATAAATAAAATCGATAGCGCTCGAGCGGAAAGAAAAACGACGAGAGACGACCGACGCCACGTCCTTGGGGACGTTCGCGAAAGGATCGGCGTCGTGTCCGCGGATGCACTTGGATGCACTCGCGCGAATGCGCCGTTCGTCCGAAGCGACGCGACGTGACGCAACGCGAGGCGACGCGACGCACCGCGCCGTCATCGTTTTTTATTGGCGCCGCGCTGTGTTTGCACGTCCAACTCGGGTGTCCTCGGCGAGGCCGACGTCGAGGGCGACGGTTCCTGCGACATCAGCACCAGAGGCTGTCCGAAGGGTCGCGTGCCGGAAGTGGATCCACCGCTGCCGCGTCCTGATCAATCAAATTTCAACAACGGTCACAGCGATCATGCGACACTCCCAATCGCTTCCAGCGGTCAGTTCGTCTCTGATTCACTCGCTTCCACACGATTTCTCAGCTTGAGCTCTCAGTCTCAGGGTTATTTAGGAGGTTACGGAAATCGCATCAAACTCGCACAGATTCTCGTTAATAATTCTCGTTAGACCAGCAGAGGGAATCCTGACGTTACCATCCTCGAGGATTAGTCCGTATTCTTTTTTCGTCATTTGTTCTTTTTATCCTCCATTGATTATTTAGTTTTTTTTTTTTTTTTTTTTATAGAGAATTATAGTAGCTTCATTTTGCAATACATAAGAAATGTCTACTGTTGTAAAAAAATGCACGAATGCAAATGAAAAGAAGGAAGACAAAAGCAATAATTAAATAACCAAATAACGAAAAAAGGTGGTCTTAAACGTACGTAACTGCTATAATTAACTTAATCATTATTATAACTAATTATTATTACTATAATGCCGTTATTAATATTTATTTATTATGATCGTCATAATTAATGTTTATAAATTAATTATTACGGTTGCTAATACCGTCATCGTCATTAGCATTATCGTTATTATTATTATCATTATTATTATTGTTACAATAGATATCCGTTGGACATATGACAGAAAGGTGCTAATGAGAGGCGATTTGGGATGGGAACTTGATAAGCCTTCGTGATAAGCGCGAGATAAAAGTCAAGAGGGGTGAAAAGCGATAAACTATTTCTCTCGTCGTCGAGGAGACACCCACGACGACAAAGTCAGCCCAGAAAAATCGACTTGCTCAATTTATCGACTTGATTCCCGAGGCTCGACAAGAGCTCCTTTAACATCGAGCACGCTTGAAACGAAGTCGATAAAACACGTAGTTCATTGTTGATAAATGTTATAACAATTGATGACCATTCGTTTGTTCGATAAATCGACACACAAATTTACTTACACGTAAATTTATTAGCGACGTATATCTATATTTAAAAAATTTTTTAGAAATATTTCATCAAAACGTAGTAAGAGGGACGATATAAAAAAATATCGATATGTACAATTTATAAATCATTAAGGCTGTGCAAAGTAAAATGGATGAGAACAGTAAAAGACAGAATATATGATTGAGCAGATGGCATTTATCGTCCTGGGTGTGACAATTGTAACAAATGTAACGCCGCCTATCATTATAGATAATCTTATCGATACATAACGTAGTAACAGAGTGCTAAATTATACCAACAATGACGCCGGCGACTTACCTCTAAAAATCGATCGGATTAATCGTTATGACAAGCAGAATGCAAAACAGAAGAGGAAAAAAAAGCAGCAGACAAAAAAAAAAGGTAAGCTTTAAGGAAGAAGGAGAAGAAGAAGAAAGGAGTAGTAACATTAAAAGAATCGATAGATTACGAATTTTACGAGTCATGTCCCTGAAGAAGACGAGCGATTTTACATAAACACATAGAGTGATTTTTCAGACCTTGGAACTGACAGTACTGGAGCAGGAACAACACATACACACACGTACACATATATACACGTGCTTACAAAGAAATAACACATAAAGTCAATTATGTCAATAATGTATAACAGCAAATTAACTAGCAGTCGAGAAGATAGAAATATGAGATGAAATATGAGAGCTGTAACACAGACAGAAAAGCTGCATATTTTTTTCTTTTTAAAAAAAATATAGAAAATATGCGTTTGACAGTTTATAACAATTCTTATTTTTTTTTAAATAAGTTTCGTATACATATATAATTTAAAGGAAATAGAAATTGATTGTGATACGTTAAATCATATTTATATTCCTATCTTCTTTTCTCAATACAGTAACTACGATACCGAAAGAATAAAAACAATGACTTAGAATTTCCTTTATGATAAAAGAGATCGTTACAAAATTAAAAAAAACAATAAAAATAGGAAGTACGTAAAAAGGATAATGGATGAAGTATTGGTACGAACTTACAGTTAGATAAAATAAGATATACATTCGAGAAATATGTTGCTCCAGTACTACGTCGACAGAGAGATATGCTTCGATAGTGCCGACATCGTTTCGGCTTTACATTCGTATCGATTGTCAAACTTGAACCGTAGCTTTCGATATCGAATTCTATGAATTTTCCCAGTGGCAGATTACGGGACGCAAGAGTTCCGTTTAAGATGCACTACTAAAAATCCCAGTTATCCAAATGTTATCAAGAAAAAAACAAAAAAAAAGAAAGAAACAGCGTCACAATTTTCGACAATAGTAAAGCTCAACGATTTGATAGGTAATATAAAAAGTTCAACAATGGAAGTCTGGATATGAGATTTGAGCCTGCCTCGATCTGTGCGATCCTGAATGTCGTAATCCGCCACTGTACATGGAAAAATCCCAAGTGTTTCGACGTACATTCCAAGATCGGCAGGAATTCTTGGTGGTGCGCCTTACCAGAGGTGGACGAGGAACAAGGATGGGAGGAGGCCCTCGCTGACGAAGGTGCTGCACCGGAGGGGGGATGTTCTGCTGTGGGAGGCGTAGGTGGTGAGTTTGTCGAGTTTCCACGGATCTCGCCTGCCTGCTTCAGCACCTGGTATATGGCGTCCACGTCTGCCCATACGGGATAAAGAGACACAGCAATGCAAAAGCACACCGAACGGAATATTGGTGGAATATTGGTTTTCGAAACCGCGCGCTCACAATCTGTCAATTTTCTCATTTGTCTGTCTTCTTCTTCCCTTTTTTTCGTTTTTTTTTTTTTTTTTTTTTGTCGTTTTGTATTAAATTGTATAGTAAGAGATGACGCGCGAGTAAACGACACAGCGGCATTCGCAATAGCACGAATAATCCT